ATCATAGCTAACGAATTTAAAGCACGCCCGAAGCTTGAAAGACCGATCGGTTCTAAAGATAAAAATCCCTAAAAGAAAAAGGCAAGATGAAAATATTCATAAAATGGTCTAATATATTTTTGATAATAGGCTTCAGAAGAAGTCCAAATACTTGAGAAAAATCAAGAGATTTTGATAAATTATATCAATGCGGGGAGAAAATATGACTCGAAAATAAATATCTATTGATAAGATTTTTACATATAATATTACAATTGATATTATGGATGAAAATAAGGATCCCGAACCTAAATTATTGAAGAATGTCGACATAAAAATGATTGGCCTAAATGAAAAGAGCAATTTAGGCATAATTATGTTCTCTTATAAAAGAGTATTTTTTTTAACCCATAGCTAAAACACTCGAAGATGTTAAGCTAGTGGGATACAAATATGTATTTATGCAAAAATGAAATAAGAAAAATGAATTAATAAGATACGAAGCAAAACTTTTAACACAAATGTTTTCGTAAAGAATTGATATTGACTATGAGGAGACATATTCTTCTATAGTGAATGCAATTGTCCGTTGTTATCTCATTAGCATGGAAAAATGTATGAAAAACATTCATATGCATGCATTTAATGAATGTGATCACGGTTTATTTGTTCATTTGAAATGATATCAATATGAAAGTCCTAGAAGGACTTAACATGCCGAAGCATGTAATATAGATTATCGAGATAAGAATTCAATTAAATTTTAGAGATCTCTATTAGGATTATTTTAGTATTTTTTTATTATTTTGGTTTTTGAAAATTCAATTTATACTTTTTATATTATTTTTTTATATTTACTCGTTTATTACTAACTCGTGTGCATATGACATAATCACTTCAATGATTATTTATTGAAAGAAAGTTATAGAAAATAACTCTATTTGTTCATATGTTTTTATTTGAAAAGAGGTTTGTTTTATATGTTGATAACTTAAATATTATTGGAACTCCCGAATAAATTTCAAATGTCATAAGTTACCTAAAAAGAGAATTTGATATGAATATCTTGGGAAAACAAAATGTTATCTCGACTCGCAGTTCGAGCACTCGAGAAAATGAGATTTTCATCCATCGAGTCAATTTATATAGAAAAATATTCTATAATGATTCTATATGAAGATCATTCACTTGATATCCAAAAGGATCATTTTCGACTTCAAGAAGATAACGAAGAACTACTTGGTCCCGAAGTACCATGTCTTAGTGCCACTCGATGCATCGATATATCTTGCTAATAATACTCGACTTCGATTTAGTCTTTTCTATAAATTTATTAGCAAGTCATAGTTTTGTTTCAATATGGAGATATTGAAATAAAGTTAAATATATACTACGTTATCTTCGAGGAATAATTGATATGGGCTTATATTACTCCAATAAATCAAAGACAAGATTAATTGGTTATGCGGATGCGGAGTTATTTATCCGATTTACACAAAGCTCGATCATAACTGGTTATATATTTACATATGGAGATATAGCTATATCTTGGTGTTCTATGAAGCAAACTACGGCTACCACATCTTCAAATCATGCGAAATATCAATTCACGAGACAAGTTGAGAATTTGTTTGGCTAAGATAAATGATCCATCATGTCTAAGAGACAGACAGTTTATCTATCGACAAAAGAAGTTCCAACAATATCATATGAGGATAATGCTGCTTGCATAATTCCATTGAAGGAATAATACATCAAAGTGACAATCCAACGGATTTATTCACTAAAGCATTACCTACCACAACTTTTGAGAAGATGATTCACAAGATTGGAATGCGTCGTTTTAAAGATCTTAAATAATGCCTTCAACAGGGGAGATCAAAATGGGGATTAATGTGTGCAAAGAATATTGTACTTTTTTTCCTTCACTATGATTTTTTTTTCCCATCGGCTTTTTTCCTAATAAGGTTTTAACAAGGCATGTTCCTTGTACAATGGACATTCAGGGGGAGTGTTATGAAATAATGAATATCCATCATCATGTTCATCAACTTTTCATATCTCCACTACTCATGATTCTTAATATGATTCAATTCGTTATTCAATATGAGAAATTGAAAGGGTGATGCAATTGATTATTCATAGCTTCTTCCAATTCTCTCATCAATTTTGAAGCCTATAAATAGGCTTGATTGTTCATTAGTCGGTGTACAAGTTTCTTAGAGAGAATAAGAGAAACTTTGAAGTTCTTATCACTCATATTCACATTATAGTAATTTTATTTTCTTGTCATCATTTTCTTCAATTCTCCTATCACTTCTATTTATTTTATAACAAAAAGTTATTTTTCATACGTAATTTAAGATAAAAATAAGTTTAAATGATTTTAAATTAGAAATATCATTATTGAAAATGATTCAAAATAATTTTTTGAGGAAGAAATATAGTACAGATAGAATTAATAAATTAAAATTAAAAATTCAAATTTTAATTAAATTAAAATTTTGTCTCAACGTTTTAGTAACGTTTTTATTTAAGTTGTAAATCATTTCTAACCAAACATAGTTATGACTTTTTTTAAGTCAAAAATTAAAAAATAAAATAAATGAATTTTCAAAAAATCATATCAAGCATAATATGACTCTAATTGGTTTGGTAAATTATTTTTACTTTCAACTTTTACACAAGTTCTTTTACTTTTGCTCTTTTTTTTTTGTTTTTTTTTTGTTTTTCCTTCCTTCCTGGGTTCTGGCAGTAGGTAGAAAACTGGTTCGGACGAAGCTGGGTGATAGACAAGGAGCAATTGCCCACTTTAATTTTCACACTTCCAATTGTCATCCTTCAATTTTTAAAATTTTTTATATTGCTCCATATAAAAATCTATTAATTGCCCTCCATGATTTTAGAATTTGTTACCTGTAAAAAAAAAAAATTCACCCCTTAATAAATATTTTTATCTTCTCCATTGGTTCAGTTTGAGTTTTAAATTCAAATTATATCAGTGACTTCTTGAAAATATGGCATATCTATGTTCAGTTAATTTTAATCGTAAAAATATCTTAAATTTCGATTTTTACATAGATTGATCCCTTCAAATATGTGTAGACATGAGCACAATATCTTTTATATACGTGGTTAGCCCATTTACATACCATTATTTGTAACATGAAAAAAAAATTCTCACATTTTCTAATCCTTCGGAAAAAAAAAGAGTAACATTCAATGAAATTTATCTCAACCAACCAGGTCCTAATCTAGATTATTATTATTATTATTTATTTTTACTTTATTATTTAATTATTTATTTTGTATTTTGGGACACTTTGAATGATTATGGTTAGTTGTTTAACTTCCACATTACATGGCAATCAGATCCGAGCTTGATTATTTATATAGGGCTCCTCTTATGCTACTTTTTGGGCTCTAAAACTACTTAGTCTTTCTATGGGCCTTGTGTTTAAACACCCATTATACTGAGCATTTTTTGCTCTTAAATGTACTGGGCTCTAATAAAAAAGGTGAACGGTTTACTCACGAAAAGGAAAAATATCATGAAATTTGGCTAAATATTACAGGAACAAAAAAATGCCGAGCAAATAGAAATACGCGGCTGCATCATATTGATCAAATGAAATCCTCACATAAAATGCAATATGGTGTCTAGAGGCCTAAAGGGTTAGCAAAAAAGCTAATGATAAATCTCGTACACTTCGATATGGCTTGTGAGAATTTTTGACATAACACCGTGATTGTATGTTTTTGATGAAAATAATAAATATATTGTCATGATATCTATATAAATTTACATACCTAGATAAAAATGCCAATAATATCAATCTTGTATGTCGTGTCCTGATGAGACAATTAAGAACACCTTATGACATCAATGAAAAATGAAAATAACCCACCATATAAAAACTCCAATTAATTTTAAAAATAAATAATTTAATCTATCATTATATAATATTATTTAAATATTTTTTTATTTTTAATTATATATGTTATATTTTTAAATAATATTTATTTATTTATTTATTTTAGAAAAAAGATCCATTTTATTAAAAATATATATATGCTCATTCATTAAATCATAATAGATCTAGTAGAGCGCAGTTCAAAAAAATAAAATAAAATAAACCTAGTAGAGCGCATAACAAATAAATAAAGATCCACTTTGACATCCAAGTGTCAAAAAGCACTAGGGAGATTTATTTAACTCTGTAGCCGTTGTCAAAGAATGGATTGACTTTTAATTTTTTGCAATTACAATGAAACCCTAATCTTCTTTATTTTTTAAGTATTTTTTTTTTTAAATCAAGCTAAAAAAATTTATGACACATTACTTGAATTTTGTGAGGTTTATAATAAGTCATCTTCAGTAAAAAATTATTCTTGAAATGATATAGAATTTTGCATGCAGATAATTCTTGAATGACACCACTTTAATGATGTATGTCCTTACACTTGGAAAAATGTTAACATTTCGAGAGTATAAAAAAGTCATTCTTTCTCTTTATATTATTAATTTTAGGTTTTTTTTTTATAATTATTTTTAACTTATTGTTGTATATTTAAGGTTTCTAAATTATATCATAGCCAGAGACATCAAATCATTTGTCAATGAAAAAAAAATAATAATAACACAGTGATGGAAACATTCGGACATGCAACTGTGAGGAGTATAATATTTGCTTTGCCTATAATTTTGTTTGTTTTTGGACTTCATATGTGAGTTGAACTTTGATGTTTTAGAGTCTTAGCTTGGTCTCAAAATGCTTCATTATTATAGAAATTTTATTGCATTCAGCAACGCATGGATATGACACAAGGACGAAACGAGTTTTTTTTTTTTTTTAACTATTAAATTCTTTTAGTACACTGTATATAACTAGCTCACATACTCCCATATCATTAAATATGGGCAATGTTAGCAACTAATTTTTCAATTCCGTTAATATTCTCAATTTTTTTTAACTTCTAGGTTTTTCATTATGGAAAATTACAATAAGTTAAAAACATAGCATGAAGAAGCAAAAGAGGTTGACGCGACAAAGAAAAAAGCAAAAGAAGCAATTAGTGGTGAATTGAAGACTTTTATAAACTTGTTCTGTATGAACATTTAGAAAGTTCCGATCCAGGCACCACTGTAGTATTTACAAGGGATGAAGAGAATAGATTTCATCAACTATTTGTCGCTTACCGCGCATCATCGCATGGATTTCGTATAGTTACCTTCTTTTTTATGAAATGTACCCGAGTATTAATATATATTTTTTATAAACTTATTATTTTTTACAAGTTGTCAGCCACTACTTTTCATTGATGATAACTTTTTGAAAGGACCCTTTTGTGGATTTATGCTTGGAGCAACTGCCTTGGATGCAAATGATGAGATTTTTCCGATGGCTTTTGGGATTGTAAAGCGAGGGTTGGGTTTGGTTTCTTCATCACCTTAAAGCAGTGGTAAATAATGATCGATAGGGAAACTGTTATTATGTCTGATTGAAATCGAAGTTTAATTTCAGCTGTCGAATAAGTATATAGTAAGGACATACATGCTCATCGTCATCGTCGTTTGAAAGAGAATTTTTTAAGTTCTAATAAGGACAATAACTTTTGGATAAAATTGCATATTCTTACGAGGCAAAAGAAATGATGTGTTCAATTTCAACAGGTAGTTCTGGTAGTCAAAAAGACGTGTTTTTTTCAAAACTTGGTTGTACTGGAATTAGCGTCTTGAGCTTTTCCAAAATTTGTATTGATTTGTGTACTGTTTCAATTTTTTTATTGATGGTGTAGACAAGTATATAAAGCAAACCTTTTGAAGTGTATATTGTATTTTCAAATAACATCTCAAATACGGTATAGAGAAACAAATAAGACACTAATAACAGAATCAACGATCTTGCTAGCAAGCTAAAATGTATTTTATTAGAACAGACTGAAATACAATACTCATCAAGTGCAAAAGAAAAATGTGATTAAGGTATGCAACTGTTAACCCACAAAGTGCCTTATTAATTCGTATCTGGCTACAAATTTAGTGGTTAAATTTAGTAATATTTTTAAACTGAAGGTCTGGTAAGAAGTTACAATGGGTCCAAGAACCTGGCCTGCCAGAAGAGGAAAAGGAAAATGATTATGGGTACCCTTAATTTCGTAATCTCTGCACAGAGTGCCAGTTGGTTATATTGCCTCTTGATTCCTCGAATGATGCTTCATCTCTTTTCAACTAATTACAAGGTTACCAGTCAGGAACTAAGAGGAGTTATGACAAAGGCCCAGGAGTCTAGGATAGTGACTAGAAAACCAAGGCATGGCCAGAGGTTCTAAAGTACCTTCTAGTACAACCTCGTGAACTGCCTGGCAAAATGGCACATGAAATTAAATTAATCATACGTTTCTTGAGAATTAGTACTTGTTATACTAGATTTCTTCTCCTTAAAATGGCCGATCAGGAAAATCTATCACTGTAATCCAAACGATCTAAATCAAGTAACAATTGAAACTCACCAACCACACAAAATTTGGAAATGGATTTTTCTGTGGGGTCAAAAAATTCTGTCACCATCTTCAAGGCCCTATCCACCTGTTAAACTTCTCCAACTTTCTAGATAAAAGTCCACACTTCTCCCTCCATTGATTGAAAAAACTCCCATCTTTTAAATTGTCACACCATGAATTCTCTTGATTTCAACTTCCGCAATGGCAATTCTATCCAGCTCTTCACATTCATCTCCATCTCCATGCACTTTCAAAAACAAGAACAAGAGTATCAAAAGCAACCCATGTAGCACCATCTCATGTTTTTTAATCGAGAACCGTCCCGGCCAAAGTACACGCCGTTGCTTTTCTCCACACGCCAAAAACATACCAAGGCAGCCCCTTAAATTTACCATCAGAAATGAGCAAGAGACCGAAGCCAAAAGACACTCATTTGGACCAAGAACCCGCCTCTCGTTTTCTCTTGTTACAAAAGAAAATCTTTTGAAGCCTGTTAAGTCCTCTGTTAAAGATGAGGGAGAAAGTGAGCAGACTTCTTCATCTTCAGTGGCAGTGGTTACTGACAAGACTGAAACTGAAACGAAGGAGAGTCAAGAAGTGGGATCGAGCAAAGAAAGTGATCAGTTGGAGAAGGAGAAAGAGAAACAACAAGAAATGGACTGGAAGACAGATGAAGAGTTCAAGAATTTCATGGGAAATCCTTCCATAGAGGCAGCTATAAAACTGGAGAAGAAAAGAGCTGATAGAAAGCTTAAGGAGCTTGACAGGGAAAGCAGTGATAACCCAATTGTAGGTTTGTTTAATAGATTGATTCGTGATAGTTTGACTAGAGAAAAAGAGAGGTTGGAGGAGGCTGAGGAGGCTTTTAGGGCTCTTGATCTTAATAAGGTAATTATGTTTTATTAATTGTTAATCTAGTGATGGTACTGTCTTTTGTTTCTAAATTTGACTGTTCAAGTAGGTGTTTGGGCTAATTTGATTGACACCACTACCTCCCTCTCCTTCTCCCCCACTACAATTACACTCATTTCCTTTAAAATTCAGATGTTAAAATTTTTTAATTTCATTCCGATTTTTTATTATTATTTCAAATACTGTATTAAAATGAAAATGTTATTATGATTCATTAATTTTTATTCTGCATTTTCATTTCGATCGTTACAATCTTGGTGGCCAAAACAACACCTTATATGTTAATATGCTAATGACGTGATTAGATTAGAACAAATTAATCTGGCCATAAATAAGAGTTGCTACTGCTATCATATATATGTGCTGCTCAGTAAGATTCTATCAATTTGTAGAGTACAAATTGGACCTTAATATTTGTAGTCGTGTCAAAAAATAAGCAATAGATTATAGCTACCTGGTGCAGTATATGTTTCTTCAAAAGTTCGATCATTGGTTAGGAGGCTTCTTCTTAATTACGTGAAGATTTTTCTAATATGCATTTGTATTCTGTTGATATTTACATGGCAGTTAAAGAACTGTTTCGGGTTTGATACCTTCTTTGCAACTGATGTTCGAAGATTTGGTGATGGGGGGATTTTTATTGGGAATTTGAGGAGACCTATTGAAGACGTCATTCCTAAACTGGAGAAAAAGCTATCTGAAGCAGCAGGGCGGGAGGTAGTTGTGTGGTTCATGGAGGAAAAGAACGATGACATTACAAAACAGGTACTGATAAATGAGCTATTTTCAGCGCTGGTAGATCTTCAATTGAGTTTAATTAGTAGTGCTTTGTGTGATTTCATTAGGCCCTTTTCTGTAACTCTTAAGCAATGCTATAGTCTATACCAGAGCGCTGCTTATGCTGGTTCATCTTGACTCTTTATGTCATCTAAACTGTCGTGAGTCGAGCATGCCATGACATTGTGAGGAACAGATATGAATTTCATGACCCTAGCCGCAAAGCTTTATTTTGATGCTTGGATATGAGCATCAACCAGCCAACCAACTAAAGAAGCATTGACGATGTAGTCTTAGCCACTGCCAAAGCCATTATGTTTAGTGGTCTAAGATCTTCTACTGAATCGGGTCAGAGGCAAAGATTCATGGATGTGGATACTTACTTGATTCCCCTTTCTACACCATAATCAAGTGCTTTCCAGGGTCCGACAGGGTGCATGGATGTCTTTCAAAAATAGGTCATGTGCATATGCATACAATGCTTATGATGAACTAATGTTTTTTCTAGCAATCAGTGATCAATATTGTTGCTGTTGCTGTTAACTTTCTTTTACTTACGAGTTCTGTTTTATCAAGGCTTGTATGGTGCAACCCAAGTCAGAGATGGATCTCCAGTTTGAGTCAACTAAGTTGAGCACACCTTGGGGTTATGTCAGTGCTATAGCCTTATGTGTGGCAACTTTTGGGACAATAGCTTTGATGAGTGGCTTCTTCCTGAAACCAAATTCAACTTTTGATGACTATATTGCCAATGTTATTCCTCTTTTTGGTGGCTTTGTCACTATTTTGGGAGTTTCTGAGGTATGTTTGGTGTCTTCTGAAGTTCAATTGCAAGTTTCTGTTGAATGTAAACTGTTGCATTGAGGTTATATTCTTTATGATTTGCAGGTAGCCACACGAGTAACAGCAGCTCGTTATGGTGTCAAGCTTAGCCCATCATTTCTCATTCCATCCAATTGGACAGGATGCTTGGGAGTGATGAACAATTATGAATCCCTGCTTCCAAGTAAGAAGGCCCTTTTCGATATTCCAGTGGCAAGAACAGCAAGTGCATATTTGACGTCATTAGTGCTGGCGATTGCTGCTTTCATAGCTGATGGAAGCTTCAATGGTGGCGACAATGCACTGTGAGCTTCTATATTTTCCTTCTGAAAGAACCTAGAGAAATAAGTATTCAGTTGCAGAAAAAGTAATAAAGAATTTTGTTTTATGCAACATTTTTTTTTAGCTAAATCCTAAGAGTTTCAGAACTTTCACTTGTGACCTCATATTTCTTTTTATTAAGTTTTTGTAATTGAACATCAAATTTGATTATCAAATCACCACAATATGTGACGATGATGCAAAACCATGAAAGAATTTAGCTGGTTTGTCACTCTTTAATTTGATAAGTTGCCCGTGCCCATGAATATACATTGTCAACTTAATCAATGAATTTCATCAATAAGTCAGACCTGTGCCCTTTATTCTAGCAAAACCCCCTGTCGTTGATTTGTTTAGATTTTTATATACCATTTGTCTTGTAGGTATATAAGGCCACAATTCTTCTACAACAATCCCTTACTTTCTTTTGTCCAATTTGTCATTGGACCTTATACGGATGACCTCGGTAACGTATTGCCTTACGCAGTGGAGGGTGTGGGGGTTCCTGTTGATCCCCTTGCTTTTGCTGGACTTTTAGGTGAGTCCCTTTGAATTATACCTAACTAGATTTGTTTATATATTTTGAATGGATATTCGATTTGGCAATTTTATTAAGCAGGGAGGACTGACTGAGGTAGTCGATGCATAATGCATTTTTGTTCTTCTATCGCATTTTGGTAAATTATGTATGAGCATAGGCGTGAAGATTGTGATACTTTCTGGACTGATCCCCCAAAGCTGCTGTAGATGGTGCAGTCTTCTGAAACCTTCAGTCAGATAACAGCTAGATAATTGGAAAAAAAAAAAAACTATACTAAACTGTATGTTTATCTAAGTATTAGCACCTTCTGTTTCTGCAGGAATGGTGGTGACTTCTTTGAACTTGTTGCCCTGTGGAAGACTTGAAGGAGGCCGCATAGCTCAAGCTATGTTCGGGAGAAATACAGCAACTTTGTTGTCCTTTGCAACATCCCTTTTACTTGGCATTGGTGGTCTAAGTGGAAGTGTCCTTTGTTTGGCTTGGGGATTGTTTGCAACATTTTTCCGGGGTGGAGAGGAAATACCTGCTAAAGATGAGATCACTCCTCTGGGAGATGACAGATTTGCCTGGGGCTTTGTTCTTGGCCTTATCTGTTTCCTCACGCTTTTCCCCAACGGAGGAGGAACATTCTCCAATCCATTCTTCAGTGACCCATTTTTCAGGGGTGATACGTAGAAGGTTGGCTGTATGATTGTGTGTATCACTCTCAAAATCTCAGAAAAGTTATTTATAGATCTTCTTTACATATTTAAGGTAGATTGATGCTCGTACAATGTTATTGCTAACTGCCTAATGTGATGGATTACAGGAGAAAGGAAAAGATCAATTAAAGATAACCTAAGGCAATTAATTTATCAAAAAAGAGAAGTTTTAATCAAAACATCACGTCCCTGTACTATATCATGGTTAATTAATTAGTCGTTGTAGTATACAAATAATTACATAGTCCTTTGATCAACGCTGCCAATTTGCCATCCTTAATTTAGTAGTGTTTTTTTTCCTCCAAAAATTTTCATGTTGCCTACTTCAGTACTTCTCGTTTCTTTTTCTATTGTTCAGAAAAATAAAATAAATTGAAAAAAAACGTAGAATTGATGAATGGACTAAATTATAAGTGGATCAAAACTATGGTGATGAAAATATTGTTTTTGAAACTACAAGCACTAATTGATTAATGACGTAAAACTACTAGAATTAAGTTATATAATTAAGTTAAAAAAAAGAAAGAAAAAAAAGACGAAGGTAAGGAGACAGAACGGGAAAGTTGACATCACGAGAAAAGAGGGTAAAGGCCTACCATGCACCTGATCCAAAAGCCATCACATTTGCGACTATTTCATACTCGTTGCAGTTCTTTTATTTGTCACAGACAACCCCGTAGTTAAAATGATATAGCGTCAGATTGGTGGCAGACTATATATCCGACGCTAATTAATATCCGTCAACTTAGTCGCTAAAGACCATAAGCATGTATGATTTAGAAGCAAACAATATATATATATATATATATATATATATATATATATATATATATTCTATGCATTTTTTTACTTCTTATTTATATAATAAGATTTATAAAAAATAATTTTGGTTCATCATAATTTTATCTGCAATTAGTTAAAAGAACTGAAATAGACTTTGTAAGCAATCTCACGGGATCGTTGTTTGCTAGTAATAACTAGCCGGTTGCTTGTGCTACGCCCCGTGTTCGGTAGAACAAAATTATTTTAAATTTTAAATTTTTTTAATTATAATATTTAATTTAATTAATTTTTTTTAATGTTTTTATAAATTCTTTGCTTAAAAAAATAAATCATTCTTCTCTATGGATTGATTTTAAAATAAAAAATTATAATATTTTCAACTAAAATATTAATCAAGAATTAATAAAAATTTAAAAATATAATTTTCAAAATATTGTATTCTAAAAAATAGTTATAATTAATCGACAGATTTTGACAAAAATTAACAAATGAAAAGAATTCTCATTTAATGCTGATGAGAAAAAATAATTTTTAAAATTATTCACACAATGCTACTCGGTAAATAGAATAAAATCATTTCAAAATGTAATAATTTTTTATTTAATTATTACTATTTTTTATGTGTTTTTTCATAAAATTTTTGCTTAAAAAGCATGATTTATTCTTCGTTATTTAGGAATTCTTAAATAAAAACTTATAATAATTTAAACCTGAAAAATTAATTAAGAATTCAAAAGCAAATACTTTAAAATTATATTTTTTATAAGAATGAATTTTAAAAATAAAATTACAATTAATATATAGACTTGCATAAGAATTAACCAATGAAAAATAAAATTTTATTCTTATTTAATGTTGGCGAGAAGATTATTTTTTTTCAAGTATATGCATTTGATCTATATATATTTATTGACAAAATAATCAATAAAATTAGCATAGAAAATAGTATTTGAATAATTGGTTGGTTCCTTTAAAAAATTATTTTAATTATCTTATTTCGAATAAATTGGTTTTACAATGTTAAAAAATATTTATAGTAAATAATTTGTATTATGTTGAAAGATGTATAGTTAATTTTTAATAAAATGAACGATTCAATAATTTTTTTACATGTCTTGACCATATCTAGTGAACTAAGATAAATTATTTGAAATACACTTTTAACATTTTAGAATAAAATAATTAATTAATTATATATATGCAACTATCATGTAAAAATTCTAAGAATTCATGATATATATATTATACCAATTTATTTTTAAAAAAAAGAAAAAAGCAATCATGTTTAAAATTCTATTCTATAATTAAAATATAGAGAAAAATAAATTATATAATATCAGTAAATAAAATTTCATATAAAAAATATTAATTGGATGAGAATTTTAATAAAAAAATGATAAATTCAAAGAATGAAATTTAAATTAATAACGAGTAATATAAGCTGAAGTATATGTTAATTTCAAAATATAAAAAGATATATTATATAATCATCAATTTGTGTGGAAAAAAGTTATGATCGATTGTTCAAAATTTTAACACCCAATTAAAAAAAGAACATAAATTGATGAAAAAAAGCAAAGAAAAAATTAATTTTTTAAAATTTTAACATTTAATCAAATAAAAAAAGAATATAAATTTATGGAAAAAAGTACAAAAAAAAACGAAAGGAAAAAAGAGGCATTTGTAGTGTTTCAATCGGGGAATTAAAATTTTTATTTTAAATTTTTAGGGGTTAAAATGAAATAAATTAAAAATTATATAAAAAATATTTATTATACGGATAAAAATCAAATATAATAAAATTTTAATCACCGAAAGAAAAAAAAGTTATAAAATAGGGACTAATGTAAAAATTAAGTTTAATAAAAGTAAAAAGGAGCTTTGGGGAATAAGAGAGAAAAAAATAAACAGCGACTTATGAAATTCAAATATAGTAAATTTTAATGACAAAAAAAAAGTTATAAAATAGGAATTAAAATAAAATTGAAGTTTATTAAAATAAAAAGGGAGCTATGAGCTGTGGTGGAAGAAGTTTAAAAAAAAAAAAACAATTAATAAACAGTGCTTCCGCTACCATGTTTCGTGGTTTTCTTTTAGTTTATTTTGTAATAATTTAAAAAGGATGATAGTAGAAATGAGAGGCGGCACCCTTTCATGTTTCATTATTCACACACATGTGGCTTTTTTGTAAATTCTGTGACTTTGATGGACATTTTGGATTTTTATTGATCATATTTCAATTCAATTCAATTCTTCAAGTTCGTTAGAGTTACATTTCGGTCCCTCTCTTCATTGGAAAAGAGGGGAGAAAATTTGGGAAGGAGAAAGACAAATATTGAGAGCTGCCAACCACGATATTTTCCGGTATAATTCTTGATAAAAAAAAAAGGGTCATTTGATCACAATTAATGCGTTGAGTTTATTAATCGCCCTTTCAAGTGGATTTTTATTCGGAAAAAAAAAATCTAAGATTAAAAATATTTTCGGCTTTAAAGTTTTGCTTGGATTTTAAGATAGGTATGAATAGATTTTAAGGTTTCAAATGACTTTTTAGATGTTGCGAGAGAAATTTTGAGGTGTTTTTAGCTGAAAAATAGTGCAAAAAATTGAGTTTTGGATGGAAGATTGGTGATAGCGTGATTTGAGTCATTAGAGAAGAAGGCAACGAACAATGTCGAACAGGGGATGTGTTGTCCATTAATTTCTCAAATGATTGGAACTGGAGCTCTAGGCCTCAGCGTGGAGACCTGGTGCTGCAGGCTCACTTCTCAATTTTTTTTATAAATATTAAAAATTATATTTCCTCCATAAAATTGAGAAAAAAAGTTACCTAATTTTAAAATGTTAGTCACATTGATGTAAAAAAAAAAAAAAAGGTTTTGGCAATTTATTAAGACATTGACCTTTGTATATTAAAAAAAGTAATTTTTCATTTATATATAAAATGTTGAGCAATTTAATTTTAAATGATAATATTATTGGAAACACTTGATGGAGAAGTTCACTTTAATGAAAATTTAAATTCATTTTGAGCCAATTAATAAAAGATTTATCTAATTTTTTCAGCTTAATGCTAGGAGCAAAATTTTCATTTAAAAAGTTAAGAAGCTATAAAATTTTAATGGTTAAGAAAATTAGCTTGCCTAAATGAAATGCTCCACGTGTTCATTTTGGCAAATCAACTTTTCTCTTTAAACTTAATAAATAAATGCTCCAAATTTAAACATTTGTTGATGAAAGCATTATTTTCTATTATATGCATCTGATAAACTTTATGAAGTGAAATTTTTGTTAGAGAAAAAATTTCATCAAATTGAGTTAATTAAAATAAATTGATTTAATTTTTTTGCACAATAATATTACAGAAAAAAATGACTGAAGTTAGTTGTAGAGTACTTTTATTTCAACATGAATTAATTATTTAAAAAAAAAAACAAATTATAAGCAGACTCATAACAGTACGCAGACCTAGATACTGGTAACTTCCTGAAATATATGCACTGCTGCTTGGCATCACCAATCCAATTTAATTAGAATGACGAAGTTCTATTACAGTGATGATGCAATTTTTGTGGTCGTAATAAGAATTATAAGCAAACCTCATTTACAAGATGTACAATTATGTATGTCCAATAGACATAATATTATATACACAATGCACTTGGTTTTTTTTACGAGAAAATTATATATTATTTTAAAAATTAATTCTTTAATTATTTATTATTTTTAATTTATTTTTATTTTTGTATTAAGAAATAAAAATGAATAAAATATAAGTAAAAATATGAAAAAAAAAACTGATGAAAAAAGAACACATTTTATAAAATAAAAAATATTCAATTAATTGTGATCAATATTAATTAAAAAAATAAATAATTAATTTTTAAAATAAAAAATTCGTTCATTCATTTTTTTGAAACAAGAAAGACTAATTTATAAATTACTCGTTTTCTTATGCAATGAAATGACATTTTTTTATGGGTTTTTTTTTTTAAAAAAAAGAAGTTAAAATACAATTAATGGGCCTTTATTAGTTGGACTTACTGCAAGTAATACAGCCCAAAAGGCCCAGCGATGAATTTCGTAAGCAAGTACTTGCTGCAAATTTGCAGCAAGTACTTGCTTACGAAGTCATCAAAACTCTATCAAAGCCTTAAAAATTAGAATCTCTCTCTCTTTCTCAACCCAGAAACCAGAATCATTTCCTTTTCCGTTCTAACACGCAATTTCTGCCATGAATCTCAGGCCAAGACCTCTCCATTCTAAAGAAGAAACCCACAAAATTCCAGTACCCAATTCATGTACTCTCCAACAACTCAAACAAATCCTCTCTCTCTGACTTTCCGCTTCATCTCCCTCTTCGTCTTTTCGTTTCTCACTTTACAGAACCGACGAGCTGCAAGCGTCGTCAGAAGGGGATTCTTTGCAATCTCTTGGTATTACTTCTGGTGACCTTGTATATTTCTCTCTCAATCCCAAGGGTTTTGCTTCTTCTACCGCTGCTTCCTCTTCCTCAGGTAACTCTCACGACAAACCCATCTCTAATCAGTCCATATATTTTCAAGAAACCCCAGTTCAGATACTTCCTTAGATTAAAGATTCTGAAATGGTTGATACAGTGAAAAAAACCCAGATTGGAGAAACCGAAATCCAAGGATTGGGTAGTTTAGAGGGTGTGGGTAATGATACTGGGTTTTACCATGAGTTACGTTTTTTGAAGAAGGTATTGAAAGAAGAATTAGGTGATGGTATTTGCAGCAAGTATAATGTGTTGGTTGTTGCTGTTCATGCGGTTTTTTTAGAATCTGGTCTTGTTGGGTTTGATTCAGAATTGGGGTTGAGAAATGACAGGCTTTATATTACGGAAGAGGGGCTATCTAAGGCTTTTACGATGTCGCTCTCCTATACTCTACCTGAACTTCTCGACAGTGAGGATGGGGCTGATTCGACTGTTTTGAAGTTTCAGAGTTTAGGGCATTTTGTTAATGTTTATGGGGCTTTGGCTAATGGTGGCTCAGAGTTTTATTGGCTGTGTTTGGATGAATACAAGATTGCGCCGATCATAAATTTGCTACGCCTGAATTGTGGTGACAAGGATGGATGGTGTAGGAAGAAGGGATTGTTTGATTTTCTGAAAATTGTGAAGGATGAGCTTGTTTTGCCGTTATTAGCTGATCTTTGTCATAAAACTGGTTGTGTTCTTCAATCATGCTTCACGAGTCTCCCAGCAGATCTTAAGTTAAAGATTTTTGAGTTACTTCCTGGTAATGATATTGCAAGGATGGAATATGTGTGTTCACAGATGCGGCAGACATTGTCTTCAAAGAATGATTTATGGAAGCAGAAATTCGTGGAGGAGTTCTGGGTTGGTGAGGGAACTAAGGGAATTATCAACTGGAAAAAGCGGTTTGCTTCATATTGGGAGACTAAAAAAAGCATAAGAGGGATCTTTCGCATAAGAGGGATCTTTCTCAATGGCGAAAATTATGGCAAAATTTAAACCGAGTTAGAAGGCCCAGGAACTTGCCTGCTGGGATGTATCCTCAGCGACATAGGCTTCCAATTATTTTTAGGTATGCGACATGACTAACAAGTTAGTCTAGAAGTTTGCAGTTATTTTAAGGATGCCAGTTGACCTTTTTAACTTCATTAAGAACTTCTAATAACATGTAGATTATTATTATATATATAGTTTTTTTGTTAGGCCGTTACTTATTTTGAACTGGTTAAGCAGTCATAACTGGTGAAGCAGTCATTAGATCCTATAAATGGTGTAATGTGAATAAGAAATACAAAAATGATTGTTGGTGCTGTCTCTTCTTGATGTATTTTTGGAACATAGTGTAATGGCTGTTTTCATTAGGTGTTTCCGCCTTACTTGTTGTTACATAATCTAAATTCCATCATCCGTTTTTAAAATATTATTCAATACTTATGAGGAAATTGAGACATCTCTCCCAGAATTCATATGAATTACTTAATGGGAAACTATGTAGCATAGATTGTGCGTCTGGATTAGGGTCCGATTACTGTCATGTAAGTTTTGAACATTGTGAAAACTGAAATAAAAGTTAACCTGACTGCTTATTTGTTAGAATTTTTTTTTTTTTTTTTTTTTTGGAGATTGTCATACATATTGTATCACTGCTGTGATTTTTGTGTTTTGGTATGTACAAATGCCCTGGGCAGGGGTTGGGACACGAGAATGTCATGCTCACCTCATGCAGATTAAGTGGAATGGAAACAATGCTTTTGCCTCCTACTAAATGTTCTTGCTGTAGCTTTTCTTGCTGAAAATCATGGGTGTTGTTAGGTCTTTGCAAATTGCAAATTTCTTAAACAGAATCTTTAATGACTTTGTATAGATGAGACGTCAATCTTAGAAAGTAAGATGTCTTTGTCCAAGTTCCTTCGTCCGTAGCTTTATCAAGGTAACATGAGTTGAAGATTAACCTCGTGTTCCATTCATTGTCGATCGTATCATTTAACATTCATTCTGTTTTATCAATTCACTATAAACTAATTCTTGCATTAAATTTTATCAGATTAAAAGGACCTCTTGATAAATCAGAATCCTTTCCTTTTCATACACAAAGCCTAACTAATTTTCAGCATGAATCTCAGGCTAAGATATCTCCATTCTAAAGAAGAAACTCACCAAATTCAAGTGCCCAATTCATGTACTATATAGAACAGCTCAAACAAATCTCTCAGCTTTTACCTTCTTTCTATTTCTCTCTGAACAGAACCCATGAGTTACAAGCTTCAGTAGAGGAGGATTCCTTGCAATCTTTTGGTATTGCTTCTGGTGGCCACGTCCATTTCTCTCTCAACCCCAATGATTTTGGTTCTCCAATTGCTGGTTTCTCTTCCTCGGGTAACTCTCTTGACAAACCCACATCTGATCAATCCTTAAATTCTCGAGAAACTCAAGTTCAAGTATGGTCAGAAATTAGAGTTTCTGATATGATTGATACAGTTATGATAACCCAGACAGGAGAAACTGGGAAACCCAAAGAATTGGGTAGTTTAGAGGGTGTGGGTAATGATAGTAGATTCTACAATGAGTTATGTTTTTTGAAGAGGGTATTAATAGAAGAATTGGGTGATAATGTTTGTAGTGAATATAATGTGTTGGTTGTGGCAGTTCATGCGGTTCTTTTAGAATCTGGCCTTATTGGGTTTGATTCGAAATTGAGGTTGAGAAATGATAGACTTTATATCATGGAAGAGGGATCTTGTAAGGCTTTCACGATGTCGCTTTGCTACACTCTTCCTCAGCTTTTGGATAACGAGGATGTGGCTTGTTGGATTGTTTTGAAGTTTCAGAGGATAGGGCATTTTGTTAATGTTTATGGGACTTTGGCTAATGGTGGATCAGAGTTCTATAGGCTGTCTTTGGATGAATACAAGATTGCACCGTTCATAAATTTGCTACGCCTGAATTGTAGTGAGAAGGATGAATGGTGTAGCCAGAAGCAATTTTTTGAGTTTCAGAAAATTGTCAAGGATGAGCTTGTTTTGCCTATATCAACTGATCTTTGTCGCAAGACTGGTTTGGTCCTTTGATCACGCTTCATGAATCTGGAGCAGAGCTTAAGCTTTAAGATTTTTGAATTAATTCCTGGTAAAGATATTGCTAGAATGGAATGTGTTTTTTCGAGATGCAGTGAATATTGTCTTCAAAAAATGATTTATGGAAGCAGGAAGTTCTGGGTTGGTGAGGGTACTAAGGGAATTGTCCATAGGAAACAGTGGTTTACTTCGTATCGGGAGACTAGGAAACAGCGGAAGATTAGTCTTGTTCCATGAAAGCTAGAGGCCCAATCACCTGCCTGTAGGGATGTATCCACTGTGACGCAGGTGTCCGATTTCGTTTGGGCATGCAACATGGCCCAACGAACAATTCTGGTAGTTTGCAGTTATGTCAAGTATGTAAGATGGTGTAATGTTAACGTGCCAAATAATGATAATGTTTGCTAGTCCTGTATTTCGTTGATGTTTTTTTTTTTAATATCATAGCAAAGTGAAAAAAATGTGGTGGTTTTCTTTAGGGTGTTTCCATCCTGATAACTAAATTCCAACTTCTGTTTTTGAAAGTAACGACATTGAGACGCATTATACAGAATTCCTATAAAGCACCTGATGGGAAACTGTCGAGCATAGACTCTGCGTCCAGATTATTTGGTCACGTGCGTGTCAATTGTAGTGAAAACTGATATAAAAATGTTAACCCGATTGCTTATTTATTTATTTTTTTTGCTGGAAAACTAGTTGTCTACCATTTGTGTCATACGATGTTATAGTTTCTGGTGACTAAGATTTTGCTGGTTTGCAAATGCACAGGCGGAAAGACACGCAGAGATTTCATTTTTTTTTCATTTTGATACACGGAAAGATGGCTCCAGGACCATTTTTTTTTTTTTTTTTTGAGAAGGGTTATATATTTGTGTGTGTGTGTGTGTGTGTTTTGAAGGGAAAAAGGATTACATATGTTGGAAGGTACTAATAAAGACTCAGCCACGACAAAAAGATACCCACACACACGTATATCTTGTTGGTTTGACAATTTAATCTGATTTAAATTTTTTTAATTCATGATAGCTTTTTTTTTTCCTCAGTAACTTTAGAATGACTCTGCCACAATGACCAGTTTAATCAAAAGTATTTTAGGAGTAGAAGTAAACCGCAATTTAAAGACGCATGAATTTAGTATTTGATGGATAGATTTAAAATAACAATTAAGGCTCGTTTGTTTGACGAAAAATAACTTCTATAGGAAAATCAATTCCTAAAGAAGTTGTTTTTCAGGAAATTATTTTTCAAAAAAATATTTTTTGCCGTTTGGTAGTTACATGAAAAAACTGTTAGAAAATATAGTTTAACGTTTGTTTAATACAAAAAATTAAAATACAAAAAATAGTATGTGATTATTACATCAACAAGTTTTAAGAAAACTTTAAAAAGGTATATTCATAATTTCACAATATAAGATACATTTAGAAAAATTTAATAAATTTTGATAAATACCGACTCTAAAATTTCAATTCAAAAAATAAAATGTACTTTTTTGACAATCAAATTAATTCATCAAAATTACTCAGGACAAAATAAAGTCAATGTTCACATTTAGTTAAAAAAAAAAGTTCTAAGTAATCCTAGCATTGTTATTTTGATAACTCAATTAAGAATTTTTATTTTTTTTAGAAATTGAATTGCTAATTTAGTCTAAAAAATAGTTTTATAAATTATTAGTTATCATTTGTAGATAACTATTCATTTGGTTTCAAAAGATTAATGTTGGAATAATTCGTAACTAATTATTAACCGCAATTACCAACAAAATCTTACAACCGATTAACATTACAAATTATTGATTTAGTTATAAATGAATAGTATCAAAAATAATGTATTTATTAATAAGTTAATTAATTTCAATTTTTTTACAAAATATTACAATCTTGTAATGATCATTTCCGATCATTTAAGTATATTTTAGGTGGTATTTGAGATAATAGTAAAAAAATAAAGATAAATTATTAAAATATTTGTTATAAAAATAATTTTAAGGTGTAAAAATGATTTTTAAGAATATTCAATGTATCTATAAATTAAAAAAAATCAAATATTTGTAGAAATAGAGAAAAAATAATTAAATAATTAATAATAATTGATAAGGAATAATTAAAAATTAATTTGATAAATTTTAAATAAAAAGAAGATAGAGAAAAAATTGTTAAAATATATCAAGAGAGTGGTAAGTAACGCGAGAGCGAGACGACTCGTGAGAAGAAAAATATTTTCCTCTTTTTTAACTAGGAAAATATTTTTTCAAAAATACTCTATCATTTTCTGTTGATTGAAAATCATTTTTTGTTGACTTTTTTCTTAAATGCGAAACAAATATTGAAAAATGAGAAAAACGAAAAATACAAGTTCCCGAAACTTGTTTTTCTTCAAATAAACACGAGCCTAAACAATAGAAGGAAGTAAAATTATGACCAAATATGTAAACATGTTCGAATGCAAGGTGTATTTTCCAAACTTTGATCAACTTTTTTTATTTTGGACTTTATAAATTTTGGGGTAAATTTTGATTCGCCCTTTAAAGTTTGTGCTTTTTTAATTTCATGTAAAAAAAATTTTATGTTTCAATTAGATTCCGTATATTTTATTTTTATACAACTCTATGTACATTTTAATTTCATCTCTAAAATTTATAAAATATCTCAATATAACCTAAAAGCTAAGAATGAAAAAAAATTGTAAAAATCATTAAAGATTTTTTTCAATAAAAAATGATTAAAAAGGTTTTTTTTTTTTTTCCCATCAAAACTATCAAGCAGTTTTTTTAACAATACAAGAATAAAATATGTGTGTGTATGTGTGAGATAAGAATATTTTTTAATAAAAAACATCAACCTCCACTCTGACCTCCTCTCATGCACTATCTCACTAGTATATCATATATATTTTTTTCAATCCAATTTTTTATTAAAATATTGAACAAGAATTTTGAAAAAAAAAATTGAAATCCCATTTGAATGGATCGCAGTTTGAGTGTAGGGCAATTTTTACATCATTTATAACATGATTATTTGCACATATTAATGATGTTATTTGATGACAATATGGAAGAAAGAAGAGAACATAATAGCTGAGATATATCGAAATAGTGAGGGTTTTGATGAAAAAAATCAAAGAGTTAAATTAATTTGAATCTTGATTTTTATTTACCTATAGTATTGACAAAAAATAAAAATAAAAATATGATGTTGCTAAATAAGAATTGAAGATGGTATAATCCTTCTCTTAAAAAAAAACCAATAACAATTTGTTTAATTCATGATAGTTTTTTTTTTTTTTTCCTCAGTAACTTTAGAATGCATGGGCCACAATGACCAGTTTAATCAAAAGTATTTTAGGGATAGAAGTAAACCGCAATTTAAAAAGGCATGAATTTAGTATTTGATGGATAGATTTAAAAGCACAATTAAACAACAGAAGGAAGTAAAATTATGACCAAATATGTAAAGATGTTTGAATGCAAGGTGTATTTTCCAAGCTTTGATCAAGTTTTTTTATTTTGGACTTTATAAAATTTGGGGAAAATTTCGATTTGCCCTTTAAAGTTTGTGTTTTTTTTTTTTTTTAATTTCATGTAAAAAATTTTATTTGTTTCAATTAGATTCCACATATTTTATTTTTATTCAACATAAATTTCAATTGCATCTCTAAAATTTATAAAATATCTCAATATAATCTAAAAGGTAAGAATGAAAAAAAATTGTAAAAATCATTAATGATGTTTTTTCAAAAAAAAATTGATAAAATAAAGTTGTTTTCTTTCATCAAAACTATCAAGAAGTTTTTTAAATATATATATATATATAGTTGAAAATGGTGTCAATTCTTATCCCTAAATGTGGATCTCCAACGCTCAACAGTTCCTATAATGTCTTTCGTTTGTTAGAGTCTCAACTCACCCACCTGCTAGCTTTTTCTCAGAAAAACCCTCGCCCTCGGTAACTATTAATTATCCTCCCTCGATCGATCTCGCACTAATTCCACCATGAGAGAAACCCAACGAGCCCAAAAATTGGGTAGTGTACAAGATGTTGATTTTGATATTAATAGATTCTCTGAAGTATTCTTCTTGATGAGAATTTTGATGGAGGAATTGTGTGGTAGTGTTTGTAGTGATTTTAGTATGTTGGTCTTTGCAGTTCATGCTGTTTTCTTAGAACCTGGTTGTGTTGGATTTGATAATTTGGTACAACGGTTTTGAGTTGTTGATAACCTTGGTTTTGACGTGGAAGAGTGGACTTCTAAGACTTTGAGCATGTCACTTTGCTGCGCCCTTCCTGTTCTCTTCGAGAATGAGAAGGTGGTTGAATCGGTTGCTTTGAAGTTCCGAAGATTAGGAAATTTTGTGAATGTTTACATTCATGCAAATCTTTAAATTTCAACATCTTTTCTTATGGGTAACATTCATGCAATACTTGCTAGCTACAAATCAAGACTGAGAAATATACTGTATAGAATTCCTTCTAAGTTCCTTACAAGACATTATCGATCGAGTACTGGATCCAGCATATATAGGGACCTGCTCAAGTTGTGGTAAGTACTGCTTTATTGGCGGGACTGTTTTCTTGAATCTTGGTCTTGCATACCTGAAGAGATCTTTTTATTCTTATAAGATGGCGTATCTGGAATTTTGTTCCATGCTCTTATGCCTGGAAAATTTATGAAATACCCACGTGATTTTAGATTCAATGAAATTCAAAAAGAGGCTAGCTGCTAATTGGATTATATATCCTTGTCAATACAGATTGAGATTTTTATAAATGTTAATGTTTGATTTCGTTAGACGGTCCAGGGGAATGCTATTTTGGATGCATTTCAGATTTTATGATAATTATGATTTAATTGCACTATGGATACTAGATGCTCGAGTGCTTAAAAAAGTTACAGAATGTTGTCTGGTGAGAAAAACCAGTTGGAGTCGTGGGTTCTGGGTCTGTAAGATGGGGTATGTCTGGGAGGAGGTTAAGAAGTTTTTTGTTGAAAATACACCAGGCTCAGGTTGCGACATTCAACATGATTCAAGGGTTTCAAAAATTAATATGAGTTAATTGAAACCCCTTTAATTTGTTGAGTGGAATGGAGCTCGATGCTTTTGTCTCGTAAACGTTCTTGTTGTAGCTTTTCTTGCTTAAAATCATGTGTTGTCAGGTCCTTCCAAATTACAAGTTTTCTTTACAAGCCGCTGTCAATATTGAAAGATTTGGCACGACTAACACTGATTAGTTTAGAAAGCAGGAAGTCTTTGTTATGCTTCCCTAGTAGTTTCTGCGGCCTAGGGTATAACCTGCCATGGTTTGCTAGAGCTGAGCGCATCTGATTCGTAATGCGAAGAGCAACCCAGTTGGAAACTTACAGCAGGTCGTACATCAAGAGCACTGATTAATTAAAAGGAAAAAAAGCACAATTTTTCAGGCAGGTGTGACTATGCTGCTCCTGTTGTAATCAAGGTCGTGATAATTGGGACAGTGTGCATTCTTTTTTCTTGTGTACTCCAAGTTAGCAAGTTGTAAGATCAAGCAATTTCACTCTTCGATGAATTTAACAACTAGCAACCTCCTTAGTTTGGTTAAACGTCGTCTAAATATGACCAGTTAAACTCAATTGAAACAAAAGAGGAATAAAATTAGCTCATGTTTACTTGGTATCCATCTATCTCGTAACAGTATCATCCATTTCCTCCCATGGTTTTAAATAGTTACATAACGCCGTTATATAACCATGACGGAGCACTGTTATTGCTTTTCAACGTTATACATATCTCATCGTGGTTTTACATATATATATATATATATATATATAATATGATAAATAATGACATTATGGTTATATAATATTATTATTTATCATTATATAATGACGTTGTATATTAAAAAAATTTAAAATCCTGTTTTAATCAATTATCAATACAAAAAATGAAAAAAAAAAACAAAGAAAAAAACAAACGGGAATTACTAGAAAACTTGATTGAAAATAAGAGAAAGAAAGAAAGTTGAAAAAAGGAAAGCTTAGTTTAGAAAGAGAGAGAGAAAGGAGGACGAAGAAAGGGAAGCTTGGTTGAGAAGGAAGGAGAGAAAGGAGACTAAAGAAAGAAAAATTTAGTTGAGAATTTGAAAAGAACAAGAGAAGACGTGATTTACAATAAAGGAAAGAGGCAGACAAAGAAAGAAAGAGATATACCATCACCCATGTGATATTCAGAGAATGCAGCTTTAATTGAATAAGTTATAAATTAGTCTCTTTAGTTTGGGAAAAAAAACGTTAATCCTTCTTGTTTTAAAAATAAATTATTTAGTTCATTTAAGTTATTTTTTAATTTGTTTTGCTTTTTGTTTTAAAAATATTATATCATGAAAAAAATATTTTGTGAAATAAAATAATATTACATTAAATATGATAAACACTCATAAAAAAAATTAAACAATTAATTTTTGAAAAAAAGACTAATAAATTTAGTTATTAAAACTAAAGGGACTAATGTATAATTTGATCCCTATTATTCAATCAAAATTGTTCAAAATTCAAAGACCTGCTGAAATGCAGGCTTTAAGTGAGTAAAATATAGATTAGTCCCTTTAGTTTGTAAAAATAAATTAATTAGTTCGTATTGTTTCAAAAACCATTTATTTAGTCATTTTTATCTATTTTATGTTATTTTCTAATTTATTTTTTATTTTAAAAAATAGAAAAAGAAAAAAAGTTATATCATAAAAAAATTGATAAAAAATATTTTGTAAAATAAAATAATATTACATTAAATATGATCACAATTAATTAAAGGGTTAAATAATTAGTTTATTATTTTTTGTATGATATTAATTTATTAGAAATGTTATTAATTTTTTTTATATAAATGCAACTATTTTATATAGTATTAAACTATTAAAGATGTCATTAGTTATTAGTGTGTTTAAATTAGTAAAATTGTTTAAAATATGTGAATTAGAATAAATTTATTTACGAGTTGTTAATGTATTCACAACATCGATAACCGTGATTGTTATTTTAATGCCGTGATCCGCAATCGCGATCATGATCTTTTTTTCAACCGTCATAACTATTTAAAACTATGCTCCCATGAATCACAACCCTTATTTCCCTTTTTTTTACTTTTAGCCTTTTCTCCAGCAGTTTAGGAATGACTTGTTCAAAAGTTGCAAAATTGTATCAGTCTGCAAAATTCCTGCAAAGAAAATAAATAAAAAGGATAAAATCCGTATTTTGATAGTTCTTTTAATTTCAATTAAGAAAAAGAAGAAGCCTCCTGATCGGTAACTAACTTGTTAAAGAAATACAGAACTGTCCAGCTAACCTATGGGCTTACTTTTAACCTTGGAAAAGTAACAATAAGCTAGCACATTATGACAAACACTATAAACTAAAATTAACTATTGAAACTATAATTAAATACAAAACGATTAAGCAAATAAATATCATAATTGATATGTGTCAAAAGGTGGCATAGGCAATCAGAAGAGGAAAACGCATTACTAAAAAAACTAAAGTAAAACCATGTTATTATTTGAAATACTATTCATGTTATTATTTGAAATACTATTCACATACTCATAAATTACTATTTCTTTCACTATTCATGTCACTTTTGTAAAATTTTAGTCCTCAATTTTTTATATTTTTTTTCAATTTCAAACTTTAATTGTATGGTGATTTAATCACATTTTGTTTTAATTTTTTTAATTATTTTTATTATTTAAAATTAACTACTTTAATTTGTCACTTTTTTTTTCAATTTCAAACTTTAATTTGTTAATTATTTTTATTATTTAAAATTTACTACTTTAATTTGTCTTCTTTTTTTTTTTTTTTTAAATTCTCCTTTCTTTTTCAATTTCAAACTTTAATTATATTGTGATTTGGTCCTATTTTGTTTTATTATTTTTTTAATTATTTTTTTATTTAAAATTTACTACTTTAATTTGTCATTTAAAAAAAAATCTCATCCAATTAATTTAAAATTATATTTACTGATAGTTTTTATTTATTTTTTTATATGTATGGATTTTGAAATAAAGTTTTAGAACATGATTATTTTTTCTTTTGAAAAATAGATTTAGATAATTTTTAAATTATAGTGGAATGATTAATATATATAATTTTTTAAAAATAAATTTTTATATTAAAAATGTATTTCAAATATTTTTTTCTCAATTTTTTGATATTATTTAAAATTTACTATGTTAATTTATCATTTTTTTTTTAATTTCTAACTTTAATTATATTGTGATCTGTTCTATTTTGTTTTAGTTTTTTTTGTTGATTATTTTTATTATTTAAAATTTACTACTTTAATTTGTCATTTTTTAAAAATTCTCATTCAATTATTTAAAATTATATATATTGATAGTTTTTATCTATTTTTTTATATGTATGGATTTTGGAATAAATTCTTAGAGCATGATTTCTTTTCTTTTGAAATATAGATTTTAATAATTTTTAAATTAATATATATAATTTGTTTGAAATACATTTTCATATTAAAAGTGTATTTCAAATAATTTTTTCTCAATTTTCTTATATTATTTAAAATTTACTACATTAATTTGTCATTTAAAAATTTTTTTTTTCAATTTCAAACTTTGATCGTATTGTGACTTGGTCCCATTTTATTTTAGTATTTTTTGTTAATTATTTTTATTATTTAAAATTTACTACTTTAATTTGTCATTTTTTTTTAATTTTCATCCAATTAATTTAAAATTATATCTACTGATAGTTTTGATTTATTTTTCTACATGTATGAATTTTGGAATAAATTTTTAGAACATGATTATTTTTTCTTTGAAAAATAGATTTAGATAATTTTTAAATTATAGTGGCATGATTAATATATATAATTTATCTAAAATACTTTTTCAGATTAAAAGCGTATTTTAAATAATTTTTTCTTGATTTTTTTTTAGAAAAAAACTCAAATTAATTAATTA